ACTGCTATTCGATCCCTACTTGACCTTGGTGTTCGCCCGGCTGTGATCCCGTGGATTTGCAACTTTCAATATGACTGACTGACGGCAGCGTGTGATCTACCAGGGCGCATCCTCAGACTGGCTCAACCTCAGCTGTGGCGTAGCACAAGGAACTATACTTGGACCAGTCATCTTTATGGCGTTGATAGATGGAGCCCTGCGCGATGTGGCCAACCGATGGAAGTACGTGGATGATATGAACATTGCAGATGTTCGCTTGGTACGTCAACCATGTACACTCCAACTTACTCTTGATAACCTGGGCACATGGGTTGGCGACCACAAGATGGCTTTGAACCCGAAGAAATGCAAAGTACTACAGATCTGTTTCGCTAAGGTTCCTCCCCCACCTGAACCACTGATCATCAATGAACAGACCCTGGAAACCGTGACATGCATCAAGGTTCTCGGCCTGACGATTCAAAACAATCTGAAATGGGACCAGCAAGTGGACAGTATGGTGAAATCCTCAAATAGGAGACTCTACATGGTACGGAGGCTGAAAAGATTCGGTGTGTCAGTTCCTGACCTGGTGTCTGTCTACACCGTGCGCCCTATACTGGAATACGCAGTGCCCGTGTGGCATCCGGCCTTGACCACTAAACAATCTAAGACTCTAGAAAGGATCCAGATGAGGGCCTGTAAAATCATCTTGGGATCACAGTATACGAGCTATAACATGGCACTGACAACCCTGAACCTCAGCTCCCTTGCTGACCGACGTCGTGAACTTTGTAGGGCATTTGCAGAATCCCTGCTTAACTCTGAGTTTCGTGATTGGTTGCCCCCGCTGAGACAGAACATTTCCGGTAGAAGTACACGTAATGCAAATAAATTTGATGTTCCACTCTGTCGGTCTGCACGTCACAAGAACTCACCAATTCCTTTTTTAGTTGAACTGTTAAACTCCAAGTAATCAATATAGTACTTGCGCTCAGACTTCACTTATCTGTCGTGTCTGCAGTATCTTGTACACTGAGTGACCCAGCGGCACAGACGTCTTCTCTTCTGTGTTTTATGATTTATTTTAATTTGTAATGTTATGTAATGCATTATATATGTAAACGAAAGCACATTTCACTTGAAATGATTGTCTGTAATCTTATTAACGTTTCCAGAATATTGTAATGAGCAACACAATTCAGACTTAAGTCTGCGAGTTGTTTAATAAAGACTGAATTGAATTGAATTGAATCATGCAGAACACCTGGTGGACTCATCTTGCTGAGACAACACAGCTTTGCGCCAACATCGGCGAATACAGGGGCTTCTACGAAGCCCTAAAGGCGGTCTACGGCCCCACTCACCAAGTGGTAGCTCCTTTACGCAGCACTGACGGCCAGACTCTCCTCACGGACAAGGTGTCCATTTTGAACCGCTGGACAGAACATTTCCAAAGTCTCTTCAGTGCCAATTGTACTGTTGTTAACTCGTCAACCAACAAAAGAAGACCTGGATTCAGCTCCGACCCTCGAAGAGGTCATCAAAGCCACAGAGCAACAGAAAAGTGGAAAAGCAACAGGTGTTGATGGCATACCCCCAGAAATCTGGAAGCATGGAGGCGCAGCATTGCACTCCAAACTCCATGAACTCCTTGTGTGCTGCTGGGAACAGGGAAAGCTTCCCCAGGACCTCCGAGACGCTGTCATCATCACCTTTTACAAGAACAAAGGGGAAAAGTCTGACTGCTCAAACTACAGGGGGATAACTCTCCTTTGAATCGCAGGTAAAATCCTGGCAAGACTCCTCAACAGACTGGTCCCCGCTGTTGCAGAACACCACCTCCCAGAGAGCCAACAGGGGCACTACCGACACGGTCTTTGTGCTCAGGCAGCTCCAGGAAAAATGCTGTGACCAGAATAAAGGACTGTACATCACCTTCGTAGATCTGTCAAAGGCATTTGACACTGTGAGCAGGAAGAGCCTGTGGATGATCTTGGAGCGTCTTGGAGCCTTCTGGGTTCCTGGGTGATCCAGCTGCATGAAGATCAGCGGGGTCAGGTTAGAAGCAGGAACGACCTCTCAGAGCACTTACCAATCCTCAACGGCGTGAAGCAGGGATGTGTACTCGCACCAACCCTGTTCACCATCTTCTTCAGCATGATGCTCCAACAGGCTACAGAGGATCTTGGAGATGAAGACGGCATCTACATACGATACCGTACCGACGGCAGCCTGTTCAACCTACGGCGTCTTCAGGCCCACACCAAGACCCTAGAGCAACTCATCCGAGAGCTAGTCTTTGCTGATGCTGCTGCTCTTGTAGCCCACACCGAGTTCGCCATGCAGCGTGTAACATCCTGTTTTGCAGAGGCATCCGAACTCTTCGGTCTCGAAGTTAGCCTGAAGAAGACAGACTGAGGTTCTTCACCAGCCTGCCCGCCGAAAGGAGTACTGCCCACCCTGCATCAAGATTGGCGAGAAACCACTGAAGGCTGTACATCAGTTTACTTACCTGGGGAGCACCATCACTTCTGACGCAAAGATTGACAAGGAGGTCGACAACAGACTTGCAAAGGCCAATAGTGCCTTTGGAAGACTCCACAGTCGTGTCTGGAAGAGCAAGCATCTGAAGAAAGACACCAAAATCAGTGTCTACAAAGCCGTGGCACTGACTACCCTTCTGTACGGCTCAGAGTCTTGGGTTACTTACAGACACCATCTACGTCTTCTAGAACGTTTCCACCAGCGTTGTCTCCATTCCATCCTCAACATCCACTGGAGTGATTACGTCACAAATGTTGAGGTACTGGAGCGAGCGGGGATCCTCAGCATCGAGGCCATGTTGCTGAAAACACAGTTGCGCTGGGCAGGGCACGTTTCTAGAATGGAGGACCATCGCTTGCCCAAGATTGTCCTCTATGGCGAACTCTCCACCGGGCACCGGAATAGAGGAGCACCAAAGAAGAGATTTAAAGACAGTTTAAGGAAATCTTTGTCTTCGTGCAACATCGACCTTCGGCAGTGGTCAGCTCTTGCCACAGACCGAGCTGCTTGGCGGCTTACTGTTCATGACTCAGTCTCTGCCTTCGAGAGGAGACACAGAACTGCCGAAACGATTGGGCTCGTTTTGTACCGCTTTGTTTTCGTCAAAGAGATGTCGAGTTGGTTTGCCCCCTTCAGGCATCTGCCATGGATGTCTGAGCGGGATGGGGGTAACCAATGTCGGAACGTAGGGGAGTTAAGGAGGGACTTTGCAAACTTAAGGCTAAGGGTTTCTCTTCTTTTCTCTAGGGACGGCAAACATAATTGGGACAGGGCGATGTTGTAAGACGTGTACAGGGGGCCAAGGATTATCTTTATATA